CACCCACGCGTCCCCCGCCCACAGCCCCTTTCAAAATCATGTGGGGAAGGCAAGGCCCGGGGGGCCCTCTGGGTTAACATGCACACTCAGGGCTGCCTACTTGGGGGGACCTGGAGGTTATCAGGATTTGTCTTCCAAATCGCCAACAGCCCCCGGTGCACAGACTTCACCATTAGCAACCCTACCCTTCCTTCTCAACCACGGCATGGTACTGCCAGCCACTGTCACTTGTGTGTGAATTGTTGGGACACTTTAACTGGCAGCTTATGGCCAACAGCTTCCTCCAGACGGAATTCTCATCCTTGCACCTTCCAGCCAGCTCCTCAGCTCCCAGCACCGGGCTTTCCCCTTTCCTGCCCTACACCTCTTCCCGGGGCCCCAGCCCTGCCAGCTGCCGCATCACCCCAACACGGGCGTCATAGCCCAGCTCTCGTGAACCCCGGAGCCACGCTCACCAGAATAAAGCATGATGTCCAGGCAGATGAAGTAGAAGAACGCCTTGCTGCTGATGTGCTGCTCGGCCACGGAGAGGTCCCACAGCCAGCCCAGCGCCTGGATCAGCTTCTTGTGCCTGCGTCAGGTTCGGGGAGGAAGGAATCGAGTCCAGCCCCGCCTACTCTCAGTCCTGCCCAGTGATTCAGAACCAAATGCAACCCTAAAGCTTCAAACCCACCCCTAAACCTCCAGTTGACGCTTCGTTCAAATTGTGCTTTCCCGGCCCTCTGCGATGGGGTGACCAGGGTCAGTCCACGTGGGCCTCTAGTCCTGGCTGCTAGTCTCTGGCATTGCTTCCCCCATGAGGCTTTTCCTGTTCCCTCCACCTAGCGGCGTGGAAGCCTGCCGGCCAGGCTGGGGATGGCTATCTGACCCCTTCAGTCACTGCCAGGGCGATCAGGTGAGCGAGGCTAAGTGCCAAAGAGCAATGGGGTCCACAGCAAGGTAGTGATCAGCGATGTCAGCTCGCTGAACACTGTCCTCCCTACCCTTCCTGAGGCCCAGGGTAAAGTGAGCTCAGAACACTCAGTCACTATGGCTTCCTTCCCCTAATTTTGGGAAATGCTTTAAGATAAATACCTGGTTTTCAGGCTGAGACACCTACTGAGCCAGCAGAGGACCTTGTATTGTTTATAGGGATTCTGGAGCAGTGCCCACATCTTCTGGGCACGACAGCCTGAGAAGAAAATAATCCTGGTATATTTCTGGCTATTACTTATGTCTGCATGTCCCATCTGGCTCAGCCAGCCCTTACCTAAGTCAATGGCCAAGTCCAAGTAGCCCATTAAGAACTTGTTGTAGCCCAGGGTATCGGCCACATACGCCATGATCTCAATGCCCTTGCCTTTCAGGGGGAGGCTGATGATCTGCTCCATGGCCAAGACTTCGTAGCTGAACCACATGCCCTGGTAGCCGGACAGCTGGTGGTGCAGTGAGTAGTCCAGGTAGGCCTTGATAATCTGAAACGGCAGGTAGGGGAGGGAAGGGGCGAGACTGAGACGGCGCCCCAAGCAGAAAGCTAGAGACGTCACCTGATGTCTGCTTGGGAATGGAACTGGCCAGTTGGCCAAGCCGTGGGCTTTGGTACAGAAATTAAATCGGGCTTCTGCCACCCCTTCGCCAAACCACCCAGGATAAGCTTGATGGCCCCTCTTGCCCACAGAGGCCTTAAACAAGAATTTTAATTTTTGTGAAAAAATAAAAGCAATAGCTTATATATGTGGTTAGTTTCTTAATATCAAGGTGTTATTTGTGTTGGAAAAAACAGCAAAGAGCCTGGAAAGAACTATCCCCAGGTGAAAACAGTAGTGAGCTCTGGCCGGTTTGGCTCAGTGGTTAGAGCGTCGGCGGACTGAAGGGTCCCGGGTTCAATTCCTGGTCAAGGGCACGTACCTTGATTGCAGGCTCGATCCCCAGCCCTGGTTGGGGCGTGTGCGGGAGGCAACCAGTCCATATGCCTATCTCACATCGATGTTTCTCTCTCTGCCCCCCTCCCTTCCACTCTCTCTGAAAAGCAATGGAAAAAATATCCTCGGGTGAGGGTTAACAACAACAAAAAATAATAGTTACCCACTTGTTGGGACTGGGCAAGAGATTAGTGGGAGAAGCGGCACTCTACTGTTTTCTTTATGCACTTCTGTGTTGTTTGATTTGTTAGGACAAGCATGGGTTACTTCTGTAACTTAACAAAAAAGAAAGGTTGGTTTGCTTTTTTAGAGCATGTTTCAAATAAAGCTACCAGAAGGGAAGGATGGCCAGAAATGGTGGTGGGTGAGAGAGGAGTATTGGGCAAATGGAAAGTCCAAACTGCAATAAAGCCTAGGGCTGCCTGGGCTGGGGCCAGGAAACAGTCAACTGCTTCACTTCTGGGGGAGAAGGTCACACCCGGAGGTCAAGCTGCTGGCCAGCGGTCACACCGCAGGCAGGTGGGTCCAAGAAACTACTCTCTGGTGCTCATTCCTCCTATTCTGCGGCACTGACTGCCTCGTCTGGGTCTGAGCCCCCAGGGGCACCTTCCCCAGCTGTTCTGCCCTCAGCCACAGCCATCTCCTTAACTGTGTCTTTTGACTTGCTTTCCAATTTTGTCTTTTCCATTTTATCCTCCCCTGCCCCCAACTACACCACATTTTTTAGGAGAAAGCCCCAAATGTATAGAAGAAGTAAAGCATTTCATTCTATAAATATTTGTTGAGCACCTACTAGGTGCCAGGCACTGTTCTCAGAGCTCAGCATTGAACAGGACAACAGACAAGACATCGGCTCTCACAGAATTTACAGGTTGGTAGGGGACACAGGCCACACACTAACTAAGGAACAAAAATGAACATGTCAGGGGGTAGCCAGCCACTAAAATAGGGTGACAGGCTAGTGAATGGGTGAGGTGGTCAGGAAGGGCACCACTGAGGAGGTGACCTTCATGCTGCAAAGCAGAGAGCCCAGTCAAGGTCACGGGGTGAGCACCCCAGGCAGAGGAAACATCCAGTGCAGAGACCCCCAGACGGATTGGACTTAGATGTCTGAGGATCCAAAAGCGGCCCATTACTGGCCCAGGGAGCTAGGAGAGCATGGCAGGATATAGTCAGAGGTGCGCTTTGAAGGGCCTTATAAATTCTTACCTATTCTGGCCTCCTGAAAGGAACTCATGGTGGGAATTTAAGCCTCCCACGTGTCCAGTGCCCCTCAACCATTTCGCTCAATAACTGATGACTCTGAGAAAGAATTACGGTCCCAGGAGAAGCCCAGACTTGATGGACTTTTATAAAGGAACCAGGTCGCTTTGATTCGATGAGGTGGATTTAGCTTAATCATTTCTTGATGGAGTTTCCTGGCGTTTTCGTCATCTAATCAAAGACTTCCCAGGTTATGACCTAGTCTCTAGTGGCTCTCCCTGTGTGGCCCTGAGACCCTTTGGGGGAGGGCAAAAGGGTCTCAGCCAGTTTCTTAATATCAAGGTGTTATTTGTGTCGGGGAAAATAGCGGAAGATCAAAATGGGGGGAGAAAAGCAACCACAAATCTTAGCTCCCCGTCATTACTGTCTCTGCCTTGCAGTGTCTCTGGGCTATTTTACAACTCTGGATGCTGTAGAAAACTGATGCCAATGATTGTTTTTCATAGAAATGGAGATGTTGGTGGAATACAAGTGATTGTTGCCCTTTGACTAGATGAGTTTTGCCTCCTTTCATAAATGGAGTTCTCCTTGGAACCGACCAGTGGTAACTTTTTACTAGTTCTCTCATTAATGAACAAGTCAGTAAAGTCTTTGACACATGAGTCATGATTTTAGCTTTTTATTTTATCTTCCCTTTTCACCCTGGTTCTCTCACAGGGACGTAGAGAAGTTTCCGGGGATAGCATGCGAGGGAGTGAAGGTGGAAGAGGAGTGGAAATCTGTCTTCATGAAGTCAGGCATTAGGGTATTTGCAAAAATTTATCAAATGCCACTCTTCTCACTAAATTTTTTGTTTAGAGAAATATTGTTTTTTCCCCCCCATGAAAATGTTAATTATGTTAATATGTAATGGATTTATTACTTTAAAAAATATTTTTAAATATCTGTTTCTGTTTCCTATATCATAATATCAATAGATACAACCCATAGGAGTAAAAGCTATTTGAGGTCCTCCACAATCATTAGCGTGTAAGGGACCCGAGGCCGAAGAGTTGGAGAGCTGCTGGCCTCAGAGCGGCCCCGCCGCGGGGCTTGTATTCGCTCCTCATGATTCTGGGTCCCGACTGGCTTCGGCCACGCTTTTCTCTCCACGTGAGATGCAGAAATTTAAAAAGCAGCTACAGCCCTAGCCAGGTTTGCTCAGCGGTTAGAGTGTCGGACTACGGACTGAAGGGTCCGGGTTCGAATCCCCGGCCAAGGGCAGGTACCTCGGTTGCAGGCGCAATCCTGGGGCCAAGTGCAGGAGGCAACAAATGGATGTGTTTCTCTCACATCGATGTTTCCCTCTGTCTCTCTCTCCCCCTTCCGCTCTCTCTGAAAAGCAATGGACAAAATATCCTCGAGTGCGGGTTCGAAAGGAAAAGCAGCCGCGACAGCACCCTACCTGGAAGTCATCTTGCGTTTCCAGGGCCGTGTTCACGCCCATCAGAGCTGCCAGGTGGGCGAAGTACTTGTAGTGGAAAAAGCAGTTCAAGCTGTAGATCTTCCACAGCAAGGAGAAGCAGTTGGCTTGCTGGTGGAGCTCCGCCAGCCGCTTCTTCCTGCGAGATGGAGGGCACACGGGGCACGGGTCAGGGAGGAGGGTGCCAGCAGCAGCGCGCCCAGCGCGGGGCGGGGAGCGCGGGCCCTGGCCGCCGCCTCCACCGGCAAGCGCATCAGCTCTCAGGAAGCACAGGCCCGGCCCTGCCGAGCGGGGCCAGGACACCGACTGGGCGAGAATTAAGCTAATTCATGTGAATCAGCGGCCGGCCGGGTCATTCGGTCACTGGGTCACTGGGTCATGGCATTGAAGTGAAGCCACTTAAAAAGCACATTTTTATCGTTCAGCCACATTCGATTCTGACGACAACCCTGCAAGGAAAGGCTGAGTACGGTGGAACCTCGGTTCTCGAGCCTAGTCCGTCCCGGAAGGCTGTTCAAGAAGTGATTTGTTTGAAAACCAAAGCATTTTTCCCATTGGAAATCATGTAAATTGAATTAACCCGTTCCAGACCCTGAACGACACCCTGTTTTAACTTTTCCTAAGCATAGTACACATCTAAGCTCTGTCGTTGTTCTCATAAGTTTCCTTTCACGTTGCTGCTCTCACTAACCGTAGGACCCATGGTGACTTACTGCACGGATTTAATAATAATAAAGCAGCAACAAAAGCAAAAACACACAGAAATCTTCACAGCACAGCTTCCTGAGATGTTAACAACGTGAGGTTAGCAGGAACATGACTCACACTCCCGCACTCTCCCCTTTGGCCGTCGTCCGAGAGCCTTGTGACTGATCATACAGGTATCAGCGCGAGAGGGTTGTCAGGTAGAGAAGCGAATTGTTCGAGACGGGAGATGTTCGAGAACTGAGGTTTGACTGTAATTAACCCCATTTTACATAAGCAGAAGGTGAGAGTCAGACAGGTTAAGTAATTAACTCAGAGTCACACAACTAGGATGTGGGGGCGCCAGGACCCACGCTTGCCTACCTCTGGCATGTTGCTCTCAGCGGCTGGGTCTCAGCTCAAGGGAGGAACCGACTGATTTTAACAACTACATTCTGCCATGGTCTCTATGCATCCCTCCAAATTCACATGTTGAACTCGAACCCCCAAAAGTAAGATAGTAGCCGGCGAGGCCTTTGAGAGGTGATCAGGTCATGAGGGTGGAGCCCTTTGGGAGTGGGATTAGTGCTATTAGAGATCCAGAGAGCCTCCCCCAGCCCTTTCCACCACGTGGGGGCACAACGGGAAGTTTGCGACCCCAAGAGGGCCCTCGCACGAGCATGCTGGCACCCTGATCTCAGACGCCCAGCCTCCAGAACTGCTTTGGGGTCCGACCATTGGCATATGTGCAGGTCTCCCTCCTCTGGGAGTGAGATGCAAACCCAGCTCTCACGGCTCCTTCCCTTACCCTGGTGGTGAGAGCTCCTGGGCCTGCTGATTCAAATAATGAAAATGTCTGGTTTTCTCAACATGCGTATAGAAAAACACAGAGATGAAGGTGTCGGGGAAAATCCGGTCGAGGAGCTTCAGTGCCTTCTTCAGCATTTTCTTGGCAAGTACCATCTGGCCCATGTTGAAACAGACCTACGTGGGGAAAGGAGAAAAAGCAGTGACTCTGGTCTTAGTTGGTGGGTTCCAACAATACTAGGATTCCAATCAGAAGATGGTCATTTATGGCCCAGGAACAATGTCCCCGTGCGTAGTGGTGTTTCTTGAATGTGTGCATGGGAGGATGGTTGAATGGCTAGCATTTAGCATCTTTGGTGTGAATCATCTACCTCGGAGAAAATGTTTACCCATTCATGTCCATTTTGGGGGTCTGTTAGAACAACATTTCATAAAGATGTCAAGAAAGACAAGGAAGATCTTATTGCTGGCAAGGGATGGTGAGGAGGTTTGAGTGCGGGCACTTGGGGTTCTGGAGTCTTGGAAAAGGACCTTGGGTGGGGTGGGGGGCGGATGCACAAAGTGCAGGGGTGGTGTCCATGTCTTCCGTGTACATCCCCAGTGGCAAATCATAAAACAGTCATGTCTTCAATGGTTTCTTACCTGACCTTTGAGGCTATAGAAGATGGCAGACTCAAAAGTCTGACTCACAGACTTTTTTTGCTTGAGAATTTTCAGCAGCCTCTCCCCCTCATTCAAGTACGTGTATGCCTGCAAAGATGGAAGGTGCTGAGTCAGCGGGGACGCAGACCACAGAGGGGCCATTGCCCCAGGCTCCACAGAAGGGGGAGAACCAGGGGCCACTCCAGGTCCCAACTCCACCTCCATCCCCGCTCCTGATCAGACAGAGCCTCCAAACTCTGGACAGGAATGGGATGGGTGACGCCCTGCTGAAGACACAGGCCACCTTCATGTCCATCTCTGTCCACCTGATCACTCGTTCTAGAGGATGAATCTACAAGTCTCTCCACTCCTCCTGTTGTCACATCAGTCACCTTACCTGAAATCTCTCCAGGGCAAATGCCTCCTCTGAATAATTCCATCCCCAGCCTCCCTTATTTCCAACAACACATTCACGGCCCTGATACATCCCCACGTCTATGAGAAGCTGGTCTCTGCTGTTGGGACGAGTTATGACTTGCCCCCATTTTCCTTCCCAGGGCCACCTTTGGGGAAATGGGAGAGGAAGGGATGGCCCTGAGCACCTCTCCTTACTCATCCTTCAACCTCTTATGACATTGCCAGACAGGGGAGCCCCGGCATGTGTGACCCCAGGCAAGGTCAGGCTCGAAGAGGTGAAGTGACAGCCCAGGGGCACGTGTGGGAGGCAGGAGCAAAATGTGAGTTTGCAGCCAGCGGGTCCCACCAGGCTTTCTCTGGTGGGAGAGGGGTGCCAGTGGCACATCTGGAGCCTTACTCTGAGCCCAGCTTTCAACCCTTGTCTTCCTGGCACTTCACTCCCTGCAGGTTTAGCAAGTTGGCCCCAGGGCTCCCAAAACCTTCTCTTCCTGGGACTCACTGGCCTTATTCCCCCCACTCCCCATATGTGTATAAAATGTACTGAGGAGACTTTCATTCTTAACATACATACTTGAGAGAACTGGGGCTTGCTAACACCTTGAAGGGTTTAGTTTTAAGGGTGTGTAAATCTAAGGTATGAGGGTCGGTTAGGCTGCTGTGATAGATGAGACTGTACAGTATGGGGCAGACCACCAGGGTGGGCTGAGGACTGCAGGCCTGGCTACTCGGGGGTGTGAAGCTGGCAGAGCCAGGTGAAGCCAGGCCCAGAAAGGCACTTCCTCAAGTGAGTTCATGGAAGGTGAGTCCAGCCAGCTGCTCCATGGAAAGTGACATAAAGTCAAGTTTGAGAGACGCAATAGGCCCCAGCCCTAGCCTGACCCCTAGGGAGACTGATGCTATCTTAGCACCTTAAAGCCCTGACATCTGCCAGAAAGAAACCTATTCAGCTGCGCCCCAGCTCACTGAACAATGAATTCTCCACTCACTCTCTGTGTCCAGTCCCCACAGTTCTAAGGGCACATCGTCCTGGAACAGTATTTACCCTTACCCCGGAGAAGAGCTCACCAGGGCCTGGTGGTCTGAAGGTATGTATGAGAATTTAGTGCAAATTATGTGAAGACAAAGGGTGCAAGCCTCTCTGGAGGTCACAAGATTAAAACCCGGTTCGCACTTATCCAAAGACCTACAAGTGTTTGGGGAAGGCAGAGGGTAAGGGCTGTGGTGGCACTGCTGAGGGAGCCTGGGGAGACTGAAGCAATAAATTCACCGCAGGTTTCTCCAGGTGGCAGTATATTAAATGGCGCATAATGCTATTTGCAATTTGTCCTCACTTTTTTTCTCAATCTCAGGTCATTTCCTGTCTGAGCAATTTGATTTCCAGAAGAAGGGGTGCTGGGGGGAAGCAGGCTGCAGGCACCTCTGGCTCCTGGAAGAGAGCTGGGTGGAGGCAGCTTACCATGTAATTGTCCTCCAAGGTGAGATAAGCAGACGCCGTCTCTAGGAAGTAATACAAGGCCTTGTTGTTTTCTCCCAAAGCCAGAAAATGGTAGGCCAGGGGCATGACCACCACCTCTAGGATCTCCTCGCACTGGCACAATTCCAAAGGGATGATGTCTTCCTGAGACGGGCTCATCTTTGATATAATGATGTCAAAGAAACTCAAGATCTTTTCTTTGATTTCTTCAGAACTGTCCAAATGCAGAAATAAATGGGAGTAATAAAGAGCAGGTATAGTTTTTGATATGAAAACATCTTTACAGACTAAGAAAAGAGCAAGATGAGAAAACCTAATGTGGGCACCACTGACCAAGCTCCCCACGCATCTCAGTGTTTCTCCACTTGGCCTCGGAGGCCCGAGTTCCTGGCCAGACCCGGGACTGTAGCAGTTGGAACTGAATGACAATCGTCCGCGCTGTACCCCCTAAGCACTTACATATGCCCTGTACCTGGTATTTTCTGAAAATATATCAGACTTCCTCGGAATCTCTATTTTGGCAAAGGTGATCTCTTCTTCAGCTAGAAAACAAGCAAACAAGTGGTATGGGTCAGTTAGACATTCTGCCCGGCGCAGATGTCTGGTGTTCGGTTATAAAGGGCAGAGAACCTTGACTTTCCAACCTCCGGTCAGCCCTGGCCGGGTGGCTCGGTTGGTTAGAGCAGCGTCTGTGCACCAAAAGGTTGCGGCTCGATCGCCGGTCGGGGCACATGCCTGGGTTTCAGGTCTGATCCCTCATCAGGGCTTGTACGAGGGCAACCAATCAACGCTTCTCTCTCACTTCGACGTTTCTCTCTCTCTCCCTTCTTTTCTTCTCTAAAATCAATAAACATCCTCAATGAGGATTTTAAAAACCCAAAAAAACCCTTCAGTCCATCCTAACTTCAATCTGTTAGAAAATTCCATAATGACCTTAAATCAGAGAACAAATGAGGGTTGTCTCACCTAGATGCTTCTCCAGGGAGGCAGAAGGGAAACCCCAGGGCAGGGCAGGGACTTGTCATCTCTTAGTGACGGAGACAGAACTAGAACCTAGATCTGCTGGCTTCAAGCGGATGCTTTACTCCGTGGATCTTTTAATTTATAAAAATTCAGTTGAAGCCCCTCGTTATCACCTTCTGAAAGACTTCTGTGCCCTTGCTCCCACAGAGTGATGCCCGACGACCTCCGGGCGGCCCTCTCTCGCCCTCCTTAGCAGGCTGCGTGAGGGTTAACTTGCCTGCACCCCTGCCCCACCCCCAAAGTGCCATCTGGGAGCTGAATAAATTGACTGATGCCTCTATCCTCCCACTTAAACTGTCCTTGTCAAGGTCACCAGTGGCCACCATGTTGCTAAATCCAAAGATTACTTCTTTGTAACCTTTTCAATACAACTGACCGCTCCCCTAACTGGCTTTTGTGACACCCACTCTCTCCACTCCCTTCCTCCTCGGCTCCTGCGCCTCCACCGACATTCCAAATGTTGGTAAGCCCGTTTGGTCCTGGACCCCCTTCTTCGTCCATTTTTCTTTTCCTCAGTAATTTCATCTGCCCTTGACTTTAAATTCCATCCATATGCCGACAACTTTCAATTGTTTATCTCTAAGTCCTGACATCTGCCCTTAATCTACGGATCCGTGAAAACCCCTCACACATTCTTTCCGAAACTCTGGGAGGGCAGCTCAGTCCAGCTGATTTTCATATCAGCCCTTGAAGGTGGAGGGTTATTTTCATTTTATACATGAGGAAATTGAGGTTCTGGAAGCCTCAGTGCAGCCACTCCAGCCCTCTAGCGTGGGGTGGGCCCCTTCTTCCGTGTCCTTGAACTCACTAGGGCTGAGATGATGAAGGAAGCAACCAACCTGAGGGCACAGGGAACCTCATGGTTCTCACCAAGGACATCTCTTCACAAATCCAGGCCCTCTCCACACTCTCCTCATGTTTATGTCTTGGATCTGGAAGAAGGCTCCAAGATTATAACTGATTCTCAGCTATTTCCTTCATAAATTCTGTTTATCCATCTATTTACCTCACTTTGGTTTGCAGCATCCATTGTATTTTAGTGCTTGGCAAAAATTTCAATTTCAACATCATGTTACAGATATACTACTTTTATAACAGTCATTAAAAAAACCTAGTTCCAATTTTTCAAAACTATAATGCATGGGGGGGAAATGTAACATACTAGTAATAAACACTAGGCTCAGCTACTTGTGCATTCCCTTGATGTCTTCCTTGCCCCAGTGGGATGACACTACTAAAGGCTCATCATCTTTGTGCAGAAAGGGGGACTTGAAACCCTCATATACAGACTCTCTCTAAGAGACCTGAAGGCTCTTGACCTGACTTCTCTTTTTTTAGAGAGGGAGACTGGCCAGTGCGTTATTGCAGTGGCAAGGACAGGCTAGGACCACAGTGCTCAGCTGCTTCCTCCTTGATCAAGTGTTGCAAGAGGACTGAAAGGGAATTGCCTTCCTCACGCAGGGTCTCCAATGACCCTGGCCAGTATTGCCTCAAAGTCCAGCCCTGCACATCGGAAAGCTCAGGTGTCAGGGGACAGAAATGAGCTTGGAAGTTAATGGACCTGGGATTGAATAAAGTCAGCCACTTGTTCTGGGGTATTACACAAGCTCTTTCATCTTCCAGAAGCTCAATTTCCTCATGTATAAAATGAAAATAACCCTCCACCTTCAAGGGCTGATATGAAAATCAAATGACAGCACAGGTAAAATAGAGAACAAGGATTTATTTTGTACCTACTATGTGCTAGGCACTTCACTCACATTTCTTCCCAATTTTTAATATCCATGTAATATAGGAATCCTCTACTTATGGTCTCTGCTTTTCCAGGCAGATTTAGCCATAATCAGCAAGGCTGTTGGCCAGGGGTCCCCACAGGTAGGGCCTGCCTTGTCTGACACGGGTCGTGCCTGTGAGAACTGGGTCCCCGGGCCCGTGAGCTCTACCCCCTGAATCCTCCACTGTGATTTCCCAGATGCTTGGCTGGTTTGTGTTATCAGTTTGTGACCTCCTCACTTTGGCTTCCCAGATGGCCCTGAACCCACCAAGTCCTGTTCGCCAGGGCCCTGACCTGCTCAGCCCGGCAGGCCTCTCCCTTCATTGTCTCCTTCTGCTGGAACCTCAGCCAAACTCCACTGACAAAATGAGGACATTCTCATCTCCCTCGTGGCCCGGTTCTTGCTCTCACCACACCACATCAGACCCCACCCCTAGGGTTCCATCCCTGGGGTGAATGGCACTGGGTCTGTTTTATCCCTTTGGACATTTCAATTCAAACTGGACACACCCCATTTTGCCAGAGTCCTTACCCCAAATCCTCCCAGACAGTCTCGCAGTGAGACTGGTTTTGCCAAGCTCCACCACACATAGGCCCCCCGCCCCTCTGCTGCTGAAGTCTCAAGACTCAGTTGTGCCCACACCCTGGGGGACCTGAAACCCTCACATTCCCCAGGAATGGTTAGGATTAATTAAGAAAGAAGTCAGTTTACTTTTGAATCCCTGGGATTTGGCCATCTGCCTGATGGAGTCCATGTCTAGAGAGTTGAGCCGAATGTCCACTGTGAAGTGGTGATAGGGAATGAAGTCCCCGCTCCTGCACCGGTCACACTTATGGGCATTTTCCTCTAAGAAGCGGGCGCATTTCAAGTGCATGGACACCTTCTGGTCCTTGAGCCACAGCTCGTAGGCTGTCTTCTGCATCATCGGTCTGCAGAACCGAATGATGTGGCACTCGATGACCTCGCTCTCCAGTTCCCGGAGCCCTTCCTCCTCCCTGTAAGCTAGAGAACAGAGGGGGCTTTTCAGCCAGGCGGGGGCACAAGCCAGCCCCACCACCTAGCGCGGATCAGCTCCTTGGTTCAGATGTGCCTGTAACTGAGGGGAAATATGGGTCCCTTCCCGGCTCTACTCACCCTGTCCTTCGCTGGGCTTCAGAGACAAGGAGCGGTAATTCACCTCAAAGGAGGCGGCGTTCTGCTTGAGCGCCATCCGGAGCTCCTTGCCGTTCCGGAAGCAGTCAAAGACGCTGGCCTCCACCAGGGTGGCCAGGGCCTTAATCATCATCTTCATGTTCCAGCACGGGAGAACCTCGAACAGCAGCTCGGTGGTGAAGGTCAGCCCGATGATGGCCGCGCACCTCACCAGCATCTGGTGGGAGAGGCTCATGCTGTCCAGCTGGACCAGAGAGATTTCTGCAGGTGCAAAGCCACACAGTAGGGAGCTGGTCATCTGTTTTTATCAGATACACGCCAGAGACGGACCCCTGTCCTGCTCTACAGCTCTCGTCCGCAGAAACCCGGCCAAGCGAGGCCAAAAGAAGCGTTTGCTCGGGGCCACTTCACAGGGTGCTTGTGCTGGAAGCACGAGAAACGCAGAAGCTGTGGTCTAACGGCAGGCTTGGCACAAAGGCCAGACGACAGTGAGACTGCCCTCAAGGTGTTCTGATGTGTTAAAGTGTGACAAGGGTGAGACGCAGCAGGCGGAAGGAACAGGGCCTGCGTCATGTTCTGTGCTGTCTAGCTGTCTTTTCTTCACTGGCTGCTCTTTCTTCGGGACCCCCAAGCAAGGAGGCTTCCCTCTGTCTTCCCCAGCAATTCCTTTATTCTGGTGACAATCCGTCACCATCTCTATGCTCATGACAAAGTGTCAGAGAGCTCGCAGCACCGATCCCAACTTCTCATCTAAATCAGTGTCATAGCTCACAAGGCCTCCCGGACATCAGACCAGAGTGTCATTACGTCACCCTCATCAGGGACAAAATGAGAGCTCAACTTGTCCATAGAACGCTATAGAAGCCACCGTCACCCTCATCGGGGACAAAATGAGAGCTCAACTTGTCCATAGAACGCTATAGAGGCCACTGTCCCATGCCGCTAGACACAGTAAATGGAAACACAGAAATGAGCTAGAAGCCCTTTTGTAGACTGAGAACCCTGAGGCACCCCTGGGTCACCTTTGAAGCATCTGATGTTCTTTATAGACGGCGTGAATCAGAGCTGAGTGTACACAAGAACGTGGCCGGAAAATCGTTTTCTTTAAAATGATAATAATACATTTCTGATATAAATTCCCTTCTCAGTCATCTCTTATAAAAGCAGATAGCAGAAAAGTTTTCGGTATTACTTTTCTCTCGTTACTTGACTTCTGCTTAATTGAAAATGTACTGTACCTCATTCTTGTATGCAGTTGAAGAAAACTTTGTGCAAATCAGACACCAAAATATGCACAGAGGGAGGTGACTCCTAATTAGCAGCAGAAAAGCCCCACCTACTTGGA